AGTGTGAGGCCTCCCACTCTGTCCCCCTTCTTCAGTCATGCTTTGCTTACCTTGGATTTCTTTTCTTGCCGTATAAAGTTGACGATTAGTGTTTCCATCACTTTAAAGAGTGATGATGGGGGCTGGGTTGGGATCGATTGAATGGCTAGAGTGCTTTGGGTAGTACTGACATTTTCACAATGTTCTGTCTTCTTATCCGTGAGTGTGGTATGTTCTCCCATTCTCTTCCAGTTTTAGTGTTTTGTAGTTTTCTTTGTCCAGGTCTTTCGCATCTCCAGTGAGATTTATGTCTAAGTACTTCATCTATTGGGTGGATGTTGTAAACGGCATTGATTTCCTGTACAGGAATCAGGCTGATTTGTGTGTGTCGATCTTGTACTCTGCCACTGAGCAGCAAAAAGACAAACAGTCCAATTGAAAGATGGACGGAGGACATGAACAGACACTTCACCAAAGAAGACATCCAGGTGGCCAAGGAACACATGAGGAAATGCTCATGACCATTTGCCATCAGAGAGATGCAAATCGAAACAACCGTGAGATCCCATCTCACTCCAGCACTGATAGCCAAGTTCAACAACAGAAAACCACAAATGCTGGCGAGGATGGAGCGATCGGGACTCTCAGGCACTGCTGGTGGGATTGATGCAACCACTGTGGAAAACACCATGGTGCTGCCTTGAAAAATTGAAATAGAAGGAACCAGGTGATCCAGCAATCCCACGGCTAAGGAGATATCCTAAGGCTATGTCCCAGAGAAATAAGAGCTGTGACATGAATGGACGTATGCACACGCATGTTTGTTGTTGTTAGGTGCCGTCATGTCATCTCTGACTCACAGCGACCCCATGTACAACAGAACGAAACATGGCCCGTGTTTAACACACCCATGTTTATCGCAGCATTAACCACAATAGCAAAGAGATGGGAATGACCTAAGTGCCCGTCAGCGGAGGACTGGGCCAGCAGTGATGGTCCATACACACAGTGGAATACTATGCAGCATTAAAGAGCAGCGACCAGTCTGCAAAACACCTTACAACACAGGTGAACTTGGAGGACGTTATGCTGAGTGAGATAAGTCAATCACAAAAGGACAATACTGTATGAGACACTGCTGTGAAAGTCAAGGAGAGGTTCACACGCACAAAGACACATTCTCTGAAGGTTCCAGGGGTGGGAAGGGAGGGAGGGTAAGTCACTAATGGGAGGGCGAACACTATTCACTTGGTGAAGGGGAGGCGGCACGAGGTGACCAGGCGGAGGAGGTCGCTGGGGGAGCGGCAGAGGAGCGACTGTTCCACGTGCAGTCCTGCAGGGACAGCGATAACGGTCATCTACGGCGGACACGCGGACAGACGCTCCAGCTGAGGAGGCGACGGAAGGCGAATGGGACGGCACCCACGAGTATGTTTTGGTCTGACAGCGTGTTCCTACCTGTGTATTTGTAGGTGCTGTGAATACAGCCATGAGGACAGTAGCGTGTTCGGGGCAGAGTTACGGAAACACTGGCTATAACCAAACACCTTGAGGGACTGAGCCCCTGGGCCTGGGGACTCAGGACCATAGTTTCAGGGACATCAAGGTCAGAATCCACACAGACGATGTTCTAGGTTCTGCTTTGGGGAGCTGTGACCGGGCTCTTCAAAGCTTGTGAGCGGCCACCCAGGTGCACCTACTGGCCTCTCTCCGTCCAGAGCAGAGCAGAGTGAAGGAAATCAAAGGTACAGGACACACTTAGTCCAAAGGACTCGTGGACCACATGGACCCCAGCCTCCCCAACCCTGAGACCTAAAGGACTGTATGGTGCCCGGCCACCACTACTGACCACTCTGCAGAGATTCACAAGAGAGGGGCCTGGATGGAGTGGGAGAAAATGTGGGGGGAACTCAGACTCATAAGGAAGAGCAGGCTTACTGGCCCAGTAGAGACTGGGGGGACCCCTGAGACTGTGATGCTTAGACTCCGCCCAGTCCTCAACTCACCTCTGAGACTCGATTCTCCGGCCAACAGCAGGCCCATGAGGGGAACAGTTACACCAGGGAGTGCACTCCTTACAGCGACGGGTCACGGGAGAGCAGAAGGGCAGTACTTGCACAGGGAGACTGCTCAGGGGCAGGAGCGCAGAGCAAGGAAGGACGCGGAAGAGGTAACCACAGAGAGGAGGGGGAAGAGAGCTGTTACATTGTGGGGATTGCAGTCAGCGTCACAAAACCAAATGAGTATGGACTGTCGAATGGAAAACCAATTCGCTCAATAACAAGTGAATAAAAAATTCACCACACACATTGGACCTGCTCCTCTCAGGATGGTGGTGGGAGGGGCTGCCCTGGGCCGACTCTCCTCTGGGCTGTGCTCGGCCCGTGCAGGTTGGCACCTCTCTGGCTGTCAGTGCACCCAGGCCCACCTCTGCCTGCCTCGTGCTGGCAGGAGGCCGAGGCCCTGGTCCCAGGTCCCTGTCAGCCAGGAGAGTGCTGCGCGGTGGCTGCCCTGAGGCCTCACTGTGCAGGCTGCTGTCCGGGGTCGGACTTCAGCTCCCACTCTCCTTCCCCACACGTGTTCACAAGTGGCCGATGGCAGCAGTGTGTTTGCGGTTGGCTCCTTTGCCACAGCACTTTCTCTCCTCAGGCTGACTGGAATGCCGGGTTCTGGCTGGGCGCCCCCAGCCCTCAGCAGCTGACCCACAGGGCCACTGTCCTCAGGGCTCCTGGAGATTCCACCAGTGGCCAGGAGCTGTGACCATGCATTCCCTCCCCGAGTCCCACTGCGTGTGGCCAGCCTGCCCTCAAGCCGACCGACATCCCCCAGCTGCCCTGGGCTCCTGGAAAGGGCACTGGCTGTACCCCACCCCAGTGTGACTCCTGTACTTGCAGGGCAGGCGTCCAGGGACAGTCCTCAGGGACTTTGTGCACATTCATCTCCGGGTGCAAAGCCTACCTGTGGGTGCCCAGAAGTTGAGTGGTGGGAGGTTGGGGGGTGGGCGTCCTGCAGCTGAAAGCAACCTGGGAGGCGGCTGGCTGCATGGGCCTTACTGGGGAAGTGACAGTGGCCTTGGCAAGCAGGTGGTCTGAGCAGGGAGAAGAGTCACCACCCCGACCCTGAGGAGCCCTCAGACGAGGGGAAGGAGTTTCGGGAGGGGAGCCGTGTAGCCTGGCTGGGCTGCTTGCGAGGCCATGCGGCTGGTCACCAGGACGTGAGCTCCCGCCAACGAGACGTTGTTCTCCTCCCGACAGGACAAGGCTCCTTCAAGACATGATGCTCTCCTTGATCTTGCTTCTGGCCGTGGGGCTGCCCCTGGAGGCCACCAACCTCACCCAGCCCCTCTCAGAGACCGACCCGACCCGGCCCCTCGCAGAGACCAACCCGACCCGGCCACTGGCAGAGACCGACCTGACCCGGCCCCTCGCAGAGACCGAGCCAACCCAGCCCCTCACAGAGACTGGCCTAACCCGGCCCCTCACAGAGACCAGCCCAACCCGGCCCCTCGTAGAGACTGACCCCATCCAGCCTCTGGCAGAGACCAACCTCACTGACTCTCCAAGGTGTAAGTCTCAGTCTTTGTCACCTTCCTTAGGATGGAGAGTTCACCTAGCGTTGAGTGGGCCCTTGGTCATTGTAGGTCTCTGTACTGTTGGGGGTCCCACGTTGGGTACGGGGTTCAGCAAGGAGGGGAGAGATCTCCCCTCCCAGTGGCAGGCCTGGTGGCAAGTCCAGGGACACTCAGGCGGGCTCTGGCCTCTTAGCAGTGGTCCTGCTGGCCTTGGTGAGTGAGCCTGGCCAGCCCCTCAGCTGCTGGGGATGTGCCCTGGGACTGTCCCCAGAGCAGGGAAGCTGGTTGAGGCATGGGCTCTAGGACAGCTTGGCCTGGCCCACACAGATGCAGAGGGCTCCGCCTGGAGTTGGGTGTGCAGGGGCTGTGGAGGGGGGCACGCTTTCTGGAGACACCACATTCCTCCTCCCCCCCGGCAGGGACGTTCAACTTGATCTGCTATAACTGTGCAATGCTAAACACCTTCTCTTGCACCAACATGCTCACCTGTGAGTATGACATCAGGCGCTGCATGACCATCTCCATTCGTAAGTACTCTCTGTCATCCTTACAGGGAGGGGGTGAGTGAGGGTTCTGAGCTGGGCCAGCGCCCTTGGGGTTGTGTAGTTGGACCCCACAGCTCCCCAGCTTGTCTGTCCCCAGAGTGGCTGGGTCATGCTGGCACAGCGGGATGACTCCTCTCTGCCCTTTGACTTCAGTCCTTTTCCCAAGGCTTCCAGCCAGGCAGGGCCAAGGACAGGGTGCCCCAGCAAGCTCTCAGGGGACATGTGCCAGGCCAGGAGGACTCAGGACAGAGCCGGAGTTTCTGGGATGGTCCCATTGCACCCTCGGCCTCGGTGGCCCCTCCGGCTCCGAGAAAGCTCTACCTCTCTCTCCCTAGTGCCCAAGTCAAGAGGAAGACAGGTGGCTGGAGGCCCCGTGACCTCCAGGGGCCAGGGAGGGTGAAGCTAGGGTCAGACCTGGAGTCTCTGGCAGCCTTGCTGGGGGCTATCTGGGCCTGTCCTCTGCCCACTTGCTCCAGTGCTGGTGACTGAGCCTGCAGTCTCTCTTGCCGTCCTGGGTCTTGGAATGAAAGCTGTTCCCCACCAGGCCCCGTGTGAGCACATCCGGTGGTGCCACCTCTTCTGTGCACCAGCTGCTGCTCTTTCAGTTTTATTGTGGTGAAAACATACACAACCAGACATGCACCAGCTTTTCTTACAGAACCTAGTGCTCCTGAGGATCTGGGAGAGATGCAGGGGCTGACCGTCCCAGCTTGGTCCCCGAGGCCAGCCAGGGCTCAGGGAAGGTTGTGTGTTTCTGTTGGGCCCTACTGCTCTCGAATAAGGCTGGGAACCGGGTTCCCAGGACTCCTCGCCCCGGCAGGGCTCCGGCTTGGGCTTGACACACAGCGGTGCGGTGCGTGAGTGAGATCTGCAAGGTTGGGGTGCGGCAGGGGCCCTCCTCTGGAGGGACACACAGCCCACACAGTGGTGGCCGTCGAAGGCCCCGCTGCCCCCATGCCCACTGCCCTGCCCCCCGCCCGGCTCTTCTTCTCCCCGGCCCACCACAGCAGAAGACCCCCTGCAGGGCCTCAGGACCCAGCTGGGCACTCTCTGTAAAGGGCTCCCTCCTCCAGGCCGAGCCCAGGCCACGTGCCCTTGGCTGTGGATCCGTGCCTGCCGATAGCACTCTTCCACCTGCCTCAGCATCAATGGACATGTTCTGCAGTGACTGTGTGACGTCAGACACTGCCACACAGACCCTGTCCTTCTCCCCGTAAGTCCTCTGCTGAAGTCCCTACTCCGTCAGCCTGTAGGGCCTCCCTGTTCCTTGGTCAGCCCTGGTGGAGTCAAGGTCAATGTAATGTCAGAGTCCATGGCAGAAACCTGGGAGCCTGAAAGCATGGGCGTTCCCCCGCTGGGTGTCCTGCTGACTCCTGGCTGTGCAGAGTGATGAGCTAAAAGTGTCTGTGGAAACCTCTGGAAAGTCAGACGGAGCTCCATCCCCACCCGCGTCCTCTCCTGGTGGCGGGCCCTTCAGGAGCTGAGCTGACACCTTCACTTCCCTCGGGAAGGCGTCAAAGGGACAAAGAGGAAACCGAATGGCCACCCACCCACCGACAGGGTTTGCCAGGCGTGGCCTCACGGTGCCCCTCCACAAGGGGCCTGCCCACTGGAAAAAGACATTTCAGTGGGAGCCGGCAGCTCAGATACGTGTCAGCCAAGATGTCCAGGACACGGTGGGAAAGCCATCGTGACAGCAACACCAGGAAAATGGCAGCAGGAATGAGAAAAGCCAGTGGACGCCAGCACTGAGACAGAAGGTGTTTGGGGATGATGGGTGAGCACACACACGCTCCCCCAGCAATGACCGAGGCACTGGAGCCTGAAGGGGAGAGAGGAAGACTCAGCAAGACATCCGATCACAAGAAAGGACCCAGTGGGACCCAGCCCACCGGCAGACATGAGGACCGGCTGCAGGCTCGCTGGCCGGGCTCTGGAGGGCGGACATGATGGAAGAGAGTCCGTGAAACTAAAGATGCACAAACCATGTTCAGTCTGACAACAGAGAAGAGAGACTGAAACAGCAGGGTCTCGAGGGCTGGGGCAGGAACGAGAGATAGTCATCCTGTATCCTGAGAATGGCAGGCAAGGAGAGACAGACTTCAGAAAAGAAAGACCATCGGGATGGGTGAAAATAGGTGTAGGCGTCACAGAATATCCTGTCAAGAATTCCTTCAGTCGCATTTGATGGTTGAAACAGAAAGTGTACCACCATTGGCTGTGGTGTGCAGTGTGGAGAAAATACGTAGGTGGTGTGGGAGTTCAGGTTGTACATCAACCTGGCTGGGCCTGTGTGGGAGTTAAGGTGGTGCGTCAACCTGTCTGGGCCTGCGTTTGAGTGGGTGGGCAGCTGGACATAGTGATTTGCCGTGATGAGACTGGTCATCACCTCCATGGTGGAATTTCCTGAAGCAGCTGAGTTATTGTCTTAGGGATGTGGTCTGCCTCCAGTATATAAGGAGAAGCTTTGAGGATGGTCTTGAGTTTCTTGGCACATCTTGATCGTGCATTTGGCCAAGTCATCAGTGGTCTGCCATGTTGTCTGTTCATCTTGGAACTGTTTAATTAGTGGCCTGCCACGTTGTTTGGTAACCTTGGGAATGTGCCTTTTTACTTGTCGACCTTGGGTTTGTCAGCCTCAGCAGCCAGCAGCTGCCTGAGTTAAGAGATGCCTCTAGCTCCAGCAGGCTGGGAGTAAGAGGCAGAGCTGAAGCCCAAGGCTGAGGGGCCTTCACCCAGCCCCTAGAGCCGGCACTCTGAACTCACACTTCTAGCCCCTAAACTGTGAGGGAATAAATCCCTGTGTGTTAAAAGCATTTCCTTTGTGGTGTTTTCTGTTAGAGTGGCACTAAGGGACCGAGACAGGTGGGGAGAATAATGGGACCTAAGTGGAAGTATTGCTGTTTATAAGGTTTTCCCTGGCCAATTCTTTGAGAAGTGGACGGCCTCTTCCTTCTTCCTAGTCTGTCTCAGTCTATAAGCTGAGCTGTTACCTGTGCACCAGGTGCATCTCACTGGGTTTTAAACACCAGAGGCTCAGCCTCAAAACTCATGTCTATATGTCACCACAGTAGGACAAACCAACAGACAAGTTTGTCTTGCTGTTGGAGACCTCTCGTATCACCCCCACCTGGGTCCCTGTGGCTGACTGTACCTCTGTCTGGCTTCCTGGCTTTTAATCCCCTTTCTCCTGCTCTTCTGGCCTGCTGCTTTGGGCGTCCCTGAGCTGTCCCTGGGGCTGACTGCTCCTCTGTCCGGGTTCCTGGCTTTTATGAAGAAAAACGTGGTATCAGGATTGGAGGAAGAATCATTAACAACCTGAGATATGCAAATGATACAACTTTGCTTGCTGAAAGTGAGGATGACTTAAGGCACCTACTGATGAAGGTTGAAGAATACAGTCTGCAGTATGGATTACATCTCAACATAAAGAAAACAAAAATCCTCACAACTGGACCAATGAGCAGCATCACAATAAATGGAGAGAAGATTGAGGTTGTCCAAGAATTCACATTGCTTGGTTCTACAATCGATGCCAATGGAAGCAGCAGTCAGGACATTAGACGACGTGTAGCATTGGGAAAGTCAACTGTGAAGGAACTGTTTCAAGTGCTGAGGAGCAAGGATATCTCCTTGAGGACTAAGGTGCGCCTGACACAAGCCATGATATTTCCAATTCCCTCATATGCATGTGAGAGCTGGACGATGAATAAGGAAGACTGAAGAAGAGTTGATGCTTTTGAGTTGTGGTGCTGGAGAAGAATGCTGAAAGTACCATGGACTGCTAAAAGAACTAACAGATCTGTCCTGGAGGAAGTGCAGCCAGAATGCTCCTTGGAAGCAAGAATGGCCAGACTTCATCTCACCTATTTTGGTCATGTTGTCAGAAGGGACCATTCCCTAGAGAAGGATGTCATGCTTGGTAGGGTGGAGGGTCAACGAAAGGGGGAGGCCTTCAACGAGATGGATTGACACGGTGGCTGCAATGATGGGCTCAAGTATAGCAGGGATTGTGGGGCTGGCGCGGGATCGGGCAGTGTTTCGTTCTGCTGTGCATGGGGTCGCTATGAGTCGGAAATGACTCGACGGCACTTAACAACAAGTGAAAGTAAGGTGTATGTGTGTTTACACATGTGGTCAAATGTTGGTAGCACTGGACTGTGACAAGTGACATATGCATATTGTAGTACCTAGAGCAGCTACCAAGAAAATTCCCCACTGCTGTCAAGTTGATTCCGACTCCCAGTGCCCCTAGAGGAGGGAGCAGAGCTGCCCCGCTGGGTCCAAGGGTGTCAGGCTTCACAGAAGCAAGCTGCCACAGCTTTCTCCTGCAGAGCGGCTGGTGGGTTTGAACTGCTGACCTTTCAGTTAGCAGTAGAATGTTTTAACCACTGCACCACCAGGGCCCCTTGACGTGAGTATATATCGTGCAAATGGAGTGTCTGCCAGCCATGAGTGGGTCGCTCAGCCTGTGGTCCCTGTCGGGTGAGGCTGTCCTGTGAAGCGGACCAGGAGCTGCGTGCCTCTGCAGCCCGTTCCCCAGCCGTTCTTCTGTGGAAGCAGGAAGGAGAGCTACAGAGAGAGAAGCGGCAGATGGGAGGCCACGGACCTCTGCAGGGGCTTCGCGCAGGCCACGCTCTGCAATGCTGAGGACAGCTAGAGGCCAGGATGGGCCCCGCGGCACGTGGGCGGGGACAGACGGCAGGGCCGCCAGGAGCCTGTCCTCATGGGTCGAGGGGGACCTTCACTGAAACAGGAGACTTTGTCCACGTGTTTCTTGATCCTGAGCCTGAGTTGTAGCCTGTTGATCCCAATCACAAGTTGTGCCCTGTTGCTTCTTTAACAAACCCACTTAACTGTGAGTTCTCTGTGGCCGCTGCAAAGGATCATGGAACCCAGCAGGGAAGGCGAGAGTGTGTGGGAGAGACAACTGGTGTCAGAAGGGTGGAAGGGGTGGAGGGTGGGTCTGTGTCCGACCTCCACCTCGTGGGATCAGCTGTGGGCTGCTCCTGGGCACTATTCCATCTGAAGTTAAACAGCTTCTGACACTGTGCGTCCCACTGTTTCACACAAGCGCTTCCAAAACAAGCTCTGAAAGTAACCGGTGTATCCGCTCCCACATGGAGGCCAGAAGGGAGGTCGGGGTGTCGCCGGGACTGCACTCAACTCCAGCAGGTTCTGGGACAGAGTCCAGCGCAAGCCTCTCCCTCAGTGTCTGGTCACTGCCCGCAGTCCTTGTGTCCTTGGACTTGCGGGTGCAGCGCTGCAGCCTCTGTCTGGTCTCCCGCCGCCTTCTCTCCAGGGACACACGTGGCTCTGTTTAGGGCCCATATACTTTCTAGGGAGGTCCCAGGGCCGGGATAAAGATGGCCACAGGGAGAGAGCAGTGCGTCCAGGAGAGTAGCCACACACTGTAGTGGGCTTGGCCGTGACCTCTCAGTTGAGAGTCCTCGGCAGTAGTGGGACATGTGGGGATACAGACTGTGGCCATGGCCCGGCGGGATGTGGGGGTTCTGTGCTTTGCAGGCAGGAACCGTGGCCTCGGGAGCTGTCATCTGCTTTGTTTCAGGGTTGAACGCTCGTGAGCTCCTTGTTTACAAGAACTGCACGTTTAACTGCACCTTTGTGTACCCCGCCGAAGTGCCCCCTGAGACACCGCGAAGAATCACCAGAAGTACAAACTTCTATTATGTCCGTTGCTGTAGTGGTATGCGCTGCAATGAAGGAGGCCCGACCAACACTGAGCGGGACATGCTGCCCATCCAGCCTGTTGAGGAGGAGCTGCCGGAGGGGGCTGCGCGCCTGGGAGAACCAGCCCTGCCCCTCAGCCTCGCTTCTCTCCTCCTGAGCTCCACGCTGACTTGAGAACCCTCCCTGAGGGGCTGGACATGCACATGCTCTGCTGCCCTTGTGAGAATCAGAGACGCTGACCCACGGCCCAGTTCCCCACTGACGGTTTGTTGTCAGAGTAAAATAAAGACAGTGATTGTTTGTGGAGAACTTGTGTGAGGTTGTCTGGACCTCCTCGGACACACAAAGGAGTCTTCTCAGACCTCCTCACGCGCCCCCTGCTGTGCAGAAAGGGGTGCCTCTCTGGCTGTGGTACTTGCACTGCTGCAGACTTGCTGGGCTGAACGTTTGTCTTGGGAGTGTGCCAAAGTGCCCCTGCCACCTTGGCCCAAAAAGAGTATTTTCTCCAAAGCAGAACCGTTCCTAGGGTGGTGGCTAGGTCAGCTGGAGGGGAGGCCCAGCTCCGCTCTTCAATACCCGGGGCCACCCAAAAGACCTACCTCTCCTTTGCAGACCTTGGTCGGGGAGCGAGGGAAGCAGACAGGGTGCTGGGTGAGTGAGGTGACGCACAGGTCAGCAGGACCTGTCCCGATGACGATCCTGTGTCCCCGTGGGGCAGTCGGGTTCTGCAGGAGTTAGAGTCGTCTCACAGTGGCCTGGCTTCACACAAGACCCAGGACGAGGGGTCCTGTAGTCAGCTGGTGAGCGGCTGGCAGTGGGGGGGGCGTCGGCGATGCTGCTGCCGCACCACATCCCGGTTGGTGTCACAGAACCAGCGTGGATGGAGCAGGAGATGAAGGCCGCCTGTTCCTGTCCCTTCACCAACAAATCAATTAACCTGATTTGCAGAATCACTGCGATAAAACTCACCTTTGTAACTGTTTTAAGGGTTTATAGTTCTGTTGTCTTTTAAGCGTGTTGACAGTGTGGTGCAGCCATCCCCACTGTCTAATCCAGAACATGCTCATGGCCCCAGAAAGAGACCCCAGCATGAGGCAGTCACTGCCACTTGTCCTCCTCACACAGCCCAGCCCCACGAGGGCACTCTGCCTCTGTGTGGACTCGTCCAGGCCCATAGAAACAGAATCAGATATTTGACCTTTTGTGTTTGACTTTTATTTATCATGTTTTCAAGGTTCATTCATATGATAGCATCAGTACCTCATTTCTCTTGTGTGCGTGTGTGCGTGTGTGGGTAGGCAGGCATTTAACCACCTTTACTGAGCGATAACTCAGACACCGTACAACTCACCCTGTGCATGTGTGTGTGTGGGGGGGTGTCAAAAAAACCCATACTCACTGCCATTGAGTCGGATCTGACTCATAGTGACCCCTCCGTGGGTTTTGAGGGGGTATCTCTATGGCGTTTAACCAGTGTTACTGAGCAATAACTCAGACACCACACATCTCACCCAATTGAAGTGTCCTGTTCAGTGGTGGTTAGCATATTCACAGGTAATGCTCTCATTCGCAGTCAGGATATTTTGATCACTGTGATAAGGAATTGCATATGAATGAGGTAGACCCACTGCCCGCCCCTCTCTCCACAGACTCCCCCGCTTGGGACACTCCTAGGGAAGGGGGTCACGCAGTGTGTGGTGGTCACAGGCTGCTTTGCTTTCAACGTTTCATTGTGATTGGGGTGCAGATTTCATGACATCGATTGCAATCCCAGATATAAACAGCCTCCTCCCATCTCCTCCCTGGGATGGCCCGCCCCTGTGTCCGTCTTATCGGTGTGTTCCTTCTGCACAGTGCTTCTCATGTCTCACGGTTGATTGAGCTGAGGGGTGCAGCTCCCTGGGCTAGATGAGTACACTTCTGCAGGTAGGTGTTCCGCTCCTAGGTTTTCCCAGTTTGGCTGAGAACTAATGCACAGATGTGAGTCCAGTTCCAGACCCTAAGGATAACCCGGGCCATAGTTGCAGGGGTTCCACCAGCCTCTGTCTGACCAGTAATTCTGGTCATTTTTGTGTTTTTGAATTCTGTTCCACATCTTTACTCCCACTCTATCCAGGATCTCCAAAGCTGATCCCTCTCTGGGCGGTTGCCATTGGTAGCCGGGCACCATCTAGTTCTTCTGGTCTCAGGGCCATGAAGGCTGAGATGACTTCTTTTTTAAGTGAATGATGTTCCAGGTTCATCCATGTTGTAGTATGTGTCAGAATTTCATTCTTTATTTTCTTTTTTTAGAATTTCATTATTTTTTTATAGCCAAATAATACTGCGCTGTATGAATACATCTTTTTTTAAATCCATTCATCACATGATGGGAACTTGCATTGCTTCCGTCTTGAGCTGTTCTGAATAATGCTGCTGTCGACATATATGTAAGTTTTTGTGCAGACATGGGTTTATTTCTCTTGGACGCACACTTGGGTGTGGCATCGCTGGATCATACGGTACCTCTACGTTTAGTCGTTTGAGGAACTCCCAGACCGTTCCCCACTATCTTCACCATTTTGCATCTGACCTGCAGTCTGTGAGGTCCCAGACCCCCCCCCCACCACCAGCACTGAGGATTATCTCACTTTTGATTCCGGCCATCCTGTTGAGGGTGAAGTGGTGTTTCTTGGGGCTTTGGACTTGCATTTCCCTGATGACTGATGACATGGAGTGTCTTTTAATGTGTTTATTGGCCATTTGTCTGCCATCTTTGAATAGATGTCTATTTAAGTCCATTTTAAATTGTGTTGTATGTCTTGTTGTTGAATTGCTGTTGTTTGGTGCTGTTGAGTTGTCTCCAACTCACAGGGACCCTCTGTATGACAGAATGAAACACTGCAGTCCTACACCAGCCTCACAATGGACTCCATGGCAGTGGGTGTGGTTGGGGTTTTGCTTCTGTGAAGACTGACAGCCTTGGAGACCCTGTGGGCAGTTCCACTCTGTCCTCTAGGGGCGCTGTGGGTCTGAATCAACTCCACGGCAGTGGGTGTGGTTGGTTGGTGCAGCAGTGGGGCCTGCTGTCCTGCTTCTCATCCTTGTCACATTCGTACTTGAGGATGTCACCTTGTCTCACATGGTGTGTGACCTTGGCCAGTTTTCCAGCAGCCCCAAGCCTCCTCCACCAAGCAGACCTGGGGAAGCTGCAGGGCCTGGATTAGCTTCCCTGTGGGTCACTGCAGAGGGGCAGCCAGCACTTCAGACAGAAGACTTTATTCAAGGTGGAGGGAGCTGCACCCGACTGGGGTGTCCCATTGGGAAGTCATTGCCACTGGCCAGCTCACTCACAACCCCTCCCGCCCCCCGCTCCTCATCTTCCATCCAAACCATCTACCTCTGTGCCTAGGGCCACTGCTGTTCTTTTGGCAAAAGCTCACCGATGACCATATTGCTCAGGCCCCACTCAGGGAGTGCAGGCTGGTCACACGGGCCTGACACACCCAGAGAGCCAACGTTGGCGAGCAGGACAGCCAGGCAGGCAAATTACAGCAGCCCCACCCTGGAGGCTGAGGGCCCACAGGGAGAGGTCAGGCCACTTGTGTTACATGCTATGGCATGGGGCCAGCCCAGGGTCCCAGTGTGGTCAGCTTGGGGGAGTGAGGAGAGGACAGAGGAGCAGTGAGTCTGAACTGCTAGACAAGGGGGGCGGGGTCTGGGGACCCTCGGATGGCCATCTGAGGAGCCTGGAGCTAGAGCCAGGTCGTGGAGTCCAGGCTCAAACAGGGTCCTGAACACGGTACTTGGGGTGGGGTGGTGGTGCTGCGGCACAGCCAGGGGCGGCTGTCCAGGGTCACCCCATCGCCACCCCTCCCTTGTCTGGCCTGCCCACCCTGTGCCTCTCAAAGCTTGGGGTCCCATTTGTGGAAGGGGGTGGGGGCTCAGGGGCGGCCCACGCTGGGGAATGCAGCGCGGTGTGCAGGGCATAGCAGGGAGGCTGCTGTCGTGTCTACGGCGCTGTGCTGCCGGGGCCACTAGTCGATGGCCTGGAAGGTGAGGAGCGGGTAGGAGGAGGGCGTAAACGCCCAGCGGTAGACTATCTTTAGGTCCTCCGGGAAGACGGTACTCACGTGGAAGTTTTTCAGCACCTAGGACAGAGGCAGGAGCTCTGGTAGCATAGTGGCTAAAGCACTTGACTGCTAACCAGAAGGCTGGCGGTTCAAACCAACCAGCCACTCCTCGGAAGGAAGGTTGGGCAATCCTACTTCCGTAGTGATACTGCCTCGGAAACCCAAGGAGAGGTCGCTATGAGTCGGGCCAACTCGACGGCACATAACAACAACAACAACAGGCCAGAGGCGGCCTCGGAAACCCAAGGAGGGGTCGCTGTGAGTCGGGCCAACTCGACGGCACATAACAACAACAACAACAGGCCAGAGGCGGCCTCGGAAACCCAAGGAGGGGTCGCTGTGAGTCGGGCCAACTCGACGGCACATAACAACAACAACAACAGGACAGAGGCGGGAATCCCTGCCGGCCCTCAGCGCTCCCCCGGGCCTCTCCACCAGCCTTGGGACGCCCTGGACCTTCCTGAATCCCTCCCTGGCTCCCCGCAGATCCCCACGCCCCGCCGCATTTCTCACAGGGTGAGGGCGCAACCTCAGCCTCAGAACCTGAGCCTAGTCGGCTTCCACCTGCCCTGCCGCCCAGCCGACACCCTGGGTGGCTCGCCCCTGGCCTCGGCCCAGGCCCCGCCCCTAGTCCTGCCCCCGCCCCGCCTCGCCACGCCCCCGCCCAGGCTCCGCCCAGGCCCCGCCTCACCACGCCCCTGACCCCACCTCGCTGCTCACGTGACGCAGGACCACCTCCACCAGTCGCCACCGCAGGCCCTGGAGCACCCCGCCTCGCCACGCCCCGACCCCGCCCAGGCCCCGCCTCATCACCTCCCAGGCCCCGCCCAGGCCTCGCCTCGTCACGCCCGGCCACGCCCCACCACTCACGTGATGCAGGAACAGCAGCAGCTCCACCTCCGCCAGTCGCCGCCCCAGGCACTGGCGCACCCCGAAGCCGAAGGCCAAGTGACGGAAGTTGGGGTAGGAGCCGGTGGCCTTGGTCAGCCAGCGCTGGGGGTCATAGCGCTCGGGCCTCGGGAATACCGCGGGACTCCGACCCATGCAGTAGAGGTAGAACAGGACCTGCGTCTGTGCAGAGGAGGGCGGGGGCTGTCAGCCCACCCTGGGGAGGCGCCCAGGGGCTCCCGCCGGGCGGGCAAGGGCTGCACTCACCCCGGCCGGAATGTGGTAGTTCTGCAGCACCACGTCCGACTGCAGCTGCCGGTGCAGAGTTAGACCTACAGGGTACAGCCTGGAGGAGGGCGAGGCGCGCTCAGCCCCGGCCGTGTCTCTGCCCCGCGGGCCCCCAGGAAGGCACACTGCCGAGCCCAGGGCACCCGCCCTGCAGGGACTTGAGAGGCGGGCACCGCGACCTTGGCGGGGGGTCCCAGGGACACAGCCCTCGTGGTGGGGAGGACAGGTGAGTGCGAGGGGCCTGCTGGGCAAGGCCTGCCATCTGCCGGCCCTGTGCTGCTCTCCACACCAGCCCAGGGCCGCTGGGGAGGGGCGGCACCTACCGCAGGGTCTCCTTGAGGGCAGCTCGCAGCAGGGGCAGCTCCGAGGTCACCCTGTGGGAACCTTCCCGGATGGCGGCCTCAGCCTCCAGGCTTTCCTGGCGCAGGGCCTGCTGCACGTCAGGGTTGCAAGCCAGCTCATACAGGGTCATCAGTAAGCAGTAAGACGTCTGCAGACCGGGACAAAGATTCAAACCTGGGCCCAGTCAGGGGCCACCTAGCACCCTCCCGGGAAACACCTGCTCCCCAGGGAGGCTCTTCACTGACCCACTGGGGAGGGACATTCCTGAGGACGCACGGTCTCGACACCTGCATCTCCTTCTCTGGAGGCTCCTCAGGGAGCGTGGCCCCCACCCAAGCCTGCACCTCTTATAGCCCCCCCACCAGAACCCTGCCTCCTCTAGCCCCAGGGGATGGCCAGCGTTACAGGGAGTTTGGGGGCTGCCTCGGGCCAGCCCCTCACCTCCCCACACATGCACAGGACCCTCACTCAAGCCTTTCTGCCCAATGTGCAGTCACCAGCCCTGCCCCTAGCCTCCTTCAGCTCCTGGGTCATTCCCAAGTGCAGGCAAGGTCATGAATGTGTCCAGGCTGAGATCTGAGAGCCTTATTATCTCCCACACCATGTCCATGCCCAGCCCCACTGCTCCTCCTGACCCAAGAGTCAGCCTCTAACTGGCCCTCTGAGGTCTGCACACCCGTCCAGCTCCACCCTGGGGAGGGGGGCTCTCGGGCTCCCTCTGGTCCTCAGAGTGGAGGGCCTTGTGCAAGGGACCTTCCTACTTCTCCCTGATCCTCTGCCCTCCCTGCGTCCCCTTCCCCGGTGCCCCCCCTCACTCTGCAGCTTCCACCCGGGGCCACTGTTCTGTCCCTGTCAGAGCCTGGCTAATCTCTGTATGTCTCATGCACAGCCAGTGAAGGCCAGCCTCCTCCAGGAAGCCTTCCATGGATGGGCTTGGCTCATCTGGGTTCCTCTACCACTGGAACTCCACTGTGATCACACTGCCGCCCAGAGCGGACCCTGGGGTGGGCCTACTGTGGACTCACTGTGGGGCCGAAGCTGTGTGGCACCTTCAGCTTGGGTCCCCACCTGCACTCTTCCTTCAGTAGCTGAGCTGTCCCCTGCTCTGCTGGCCATCACCTCACCTCCAGTGGGTCCTTCTCAGAACCACAGGTCACCTGTGCCTCCAGGAAGGAGCCCGGTGCCACCTAGCTGTGTCTCTGCCCCCCTCGGGCTGGAACGGGGGGCCGTGCGGCTGCTTGTCCCTGGTCCTGGTCCCCTGTGCCCAAGCACTGTGCCCACACAACCTACTATCTCTGCTCCCCCTGGACAGGTGCCCTTGTGCCTCCTCAAGTCTTCTCTCAATGCACAACCCAGTTCCTGGCTGGGGACACCCAAGTCTCAGGACAGAGACTGGGGGTTGGCCAGGGCCCGCGTGTGTGGGCCTGTGGGAGGGCACGGCCTGGGCGTCAGAGAGTGTGTGACTCAACGGGGGGCTGGGTTTTGGCCGACCGTGTCAATGCTGCCTGCGGTGAGTTCCACGGCGTTGGCTTTGATGGTGTCCAGGGACAGGTATGAGTTCAGAAGCAGTTCAGCGATAATGCCACTGTAGTGCTGTGGGCGGCCGACTGACAGCTCCTGGTAGATCCTGTGCATGGCCCTGTCGGCTGTGGGGACAGATACAGGCCCTTGTCCGCTTCCCCTGCCCACAGCACTCACCCCTTCCCGCATGGCTGCGTGCCCCTGCTGGGTAGCAAGGAGGGGCCTAGGGCATCCTGCGTGGAGCTGGCCTCACCATACTGGAAGATGGTGTCCCAGGCCTGGAAGTGCTCTGCCCACAAGTTGGCGTTGACCCAGCGAGTCAGGCTTCGGGGCATGTAGATGAGTGGAATGGTGGATTTCAACATGGCTTTTGTGGCCTGGAGGAACTGCAGGCTGGTGGCGCTGGTGCTGGGACCGAGGAGCCCCAGCCGTTCCCCGTACAAGGCGAAGTTGCTGGCTGCCGGGACACAGTGCAAGCCTCAGGCCGAGCCCGGCATCCCGCCGCCCAGCGCTGGCTCGCGCGGCCCCTGGGGTGCGCCCACCTTCAATGGTGTAGAGGAAGATGAGGTGCTGGGCGTCCAGGGTCAGGCTCCCGCGGGCGTTCTGCATCACCTTCTTCCTCAGCACCTGGCAGAAGTCTTGGGCCACTGTGTCCACCATGGGCATGAACCGCTGGGTCTTTCTGGGGTCCAGCAGGTCGGGGTTCAGCCGCAGCCGGTTCTGACGCCATTCGGGCCCATTGCTGCAGAGCAGAGAGCAGGTGCCCAGGAGCAGAGCCGGGTGCAGGCCCCCACGGGAGGGGCTGGGCACTGTGCTTGCTCCCGGGCACGCCTGTCAGAACTGCGCAGCGAGCTGACCTCGGCCCCCGGGTCAGGGTGGGCGAGGTCTGCCGCTGTGGCCTGAGAGCACCCATGGGCTCAGGGGAGAGCCCCCACGATGCAGGCCCTGTGCCAGGCTCCGGTGAGGAGGGACTGTCTCTGCAGGGAGGTGGCCCCAGCGGCCCCCCCTTGCCCACAGGGAGAGGCTCCTGGGGACCCTCGGCCCAGCCCCCGTGAGAGTCGCCTGGGATGCTGACAGCATCTGCTGTCTCCCCACAGGGAGCCCGCCCTCATTGCCCCCGAGAGCTGGAACAGGGGGCCCACGGGTGTCCTTCAAGAAGCTCCGTGTGTGTGTGTGTGTGTGTGCGCATGCGCACACTGTGCTTCCTTCCCGCGCACACACACTCCTGTGCCCCGGCCAGCCTTCTGGGGATTCTGAGAGGTGACTGAAACAAACACAGACACACGTGCATATTCACACAGGACGTTCACCCAGGGCCACAAACACAGTCACACACACATGCGTGTCCAGCACCCGCACATTACCACATGTGAGCAGACACACTCATGCGCACGCACACACACACATATGCAGGCACACTCATGCTTGTATTTACTTTCACACTGACACTTGCTTCCACACATGTACATAGAGACACATTCACACACATGTATGCATGTGCATGTGCACACATAGACACACAGAGACGCATATATACACTCTCACCCATATGCTTCCTCACACACACATGCCACTGCACACTCACATAACTTTGTGCACAGGTGCACACATTGCACACCCACACACATGCACACTCACCTACCCTCGGGTTTGCACTCCCACCTTTCTTCCAGGCCCGCCCTTCCTGGGCCCTGACTCCTTCAGATGCCCGCAGACAAGGGCCCCACGCAGGGCTGCTTGCCCCTTCCCAGGAATTCCCTTCCTGACAGACTGGGAGGCATTGGCCAAGCCAGTGTCCCTGGGCAGTCCCTTGCAGCCTGTGTCCAGCACCACCTCTGCCCGCTCAGGACCAGGTTTGCCCATTCAGCAGGTAGGAATCAGCTCTCGACAAGCCCAGCTCTAAGTTCTGAGGATATTGGGGCTGCCAGCCAATGCGTCCCTGTCCTCCATGTCCCCAGACCGTCTCCATAAAAAGTGCAAGTTTACTGTTAGCTCTGGAACCCAGGGGTCCTTGCTGCCCCTGCTCTGAGCTCTGTCTGCCCTGTAGGAGGTGGGTCACTACCCATCTTCCTGTTCCAAGGGAAGTGCCTTGTGTATCCCTCTCCTGTTCCACCCCCTTGGGCTCTGGACAGACAGCACCAGGCCCTGGCCCTCACAGGAGCATCATGGTGACCCTTGGGCCCCTGGCAGGACCGGAGGATGTGCTGCTTGAGTCCCCTGCCTGTGTGCCCAGGCCCCCACCCGACCCGGGATCACCCTCACGTCAAGAACACTCCGAGTTTGTGTCCGTGATGTTGTCGGTAGACCAGCCAGGGCTCCGTGGGCATCCTGTGGGGCTGCAAGCTGTCCACGTGGTACAACTGCTCCGCATCCTGGGGCAGCATCACGTTCACTGTGGGCATACTCCCCACGCTGTACCTGTGGGACACAGAGGGGCCAGGTGGGGCGCCACCTCCCCTGGGCCCCAGTCTGCAACATGCCGGGCCAGGCTCCCTCCTGTCTGAACGCCCCCTTCTCCTGGACTTACGACTCGGCAGCCAGGAAGTTCTTTCTGCTGTCTAACTGAAATCCCGCCAGCTGCAGTGCTGGGAGTCCTGTCCTCTGGGCCAGCATCAGCAGCTCAGCCTCCCCTGGGTGGGGCGCTGTGGTATCCACGGTCAAGGACTCGGACCACAGCCCACAGAGCCCCTGCCCCCACCTCCTAAGGACACAGCGCGCTGGGCCAGACCCTGGGTGTGTCCTCGCGGGACCGAGTCTACCTGAAGATAGGCCCCAGCTCCTGGAAGTGCTTCTGCATCTCCAGGTGCAGGTCATCCTGGCCCTGATCCTTCCAGACACGCAGCATCCTCACCCACTTGTTGCCGGGACACAGGGGGATGGCGTCGAAGGGCCGCACTGCCTGGCAGTCTGGAGAGGCCCTGGTGCCCAGTGTGCGGACCCCATGTGGGGCCAGCCGGGGCCCTGTGGGCCACACACCTGCCCTCAGCCTGAGTGCCATCCTCACACCCCCGGCTCCAGTCCCAGCACAACCCCTTTTATCTGCCGGGAAGGCCGAGTCGGGCCGTCCTTGCTGGCGTCATGCGGAAATTGTTCCTGGAGCAGGCCAAGGGCCCCAGGCCAGGCTCAGTGCTGCAGCCCCACAGGGGGAGGGGAGGACGTGAGTGGTGTCCTGTCTCTCATCTTTACAGGGGACAAATGCAAGGAGGGGGCGCTGAGGGCATGCCCTGTGCCTAAGGGGGCTAGTGGGGGGCCTGGGGACCGCTCTCTCTGGCGGGGTGCTCAGCCTTATCTTATCAGAGGACAGCGAGGGCCTTGGCCTTTCTTATCCCCATTCTGCAAGGACAGAGCTGGGGCAGGAGGCGTTAACCTGATTATCCCCGTGCCTTCTGCCAACTCCGCCATGGCGGTGGGCGAGACCATGGAGACGGCGAGAGGTTTCCTCCCCGGGAGCTGCAGCCCTCTGGGGGAGTTCAGGGCATAGGGCCCCGCGGCGGGGCCGATGGGTCTGGGCCTGTCTGGCTGCCTGGGAGTCCAGCACAGCAGCTTGATGGGGCTGCCGGAACTGGGGGACGGCTGGGAGCCACCACCCTGGCAGGAGCTGTTGAAGGCTGAAGAGGCCCCTTACTGAAAATTGCAGGACCAGACCCACCAGCCACTCCTCAGAAGGAAGATTGGGCGATCTACTTCTGTAGTGATACCGCCTTGGAAACCCAAGGAGGGGTCGCTATGAGTCGGGGCCGACTCAACGGCACACAACAACACTAAGAGCAACAAACTAGCAGCTGTGATTAGAGCAACATTAATTATAATGACTGACTTGCTGTGTTCCCTTCCCTTTTTTAAAAAAATTGTGATTTGGGTGAAAGTTTACAGAGCAAATTCACTTTCCATACAGCAGCGCACATACACTTTGTCTCATGACAGTGACTACAATTTTCCACAATGCAACAGCTCCCCTCCAACTTCCTCCCCAGTTACCTCTTCCCTGTGTCCTTCCCTCCATGCACTCCTGCCCCCTGAGCTGTCTCCCTGTGTATACACAGCCCTTCTGTTCTGCCATGATTGATCTCCAAGGAGTGTATCTGTTCAGCTCATATGCCTGTCTTTTGTTTGGCTGGAAGCCCAGGAGTGGGTTCATTCCAGACCTGATGGGCAGCCAGGGACCATAGTCTCAGTGGTTCCATCAGGCTCTATCAGACCAGCAAACCTAGTCTTTCTCTCTCTCTTTTTTTCCAAATGATTTTGGGTTTTGTTCCACATTGTTCTCCCTATCCAGGATCTCCTACATAGATCCCCCTCCAAGTGGTTGACAGTGGTAGCCGGGCACCATCTAGTTCTTCTGTTTTCATAGTCATATAGGCTGAGGATCACATGGTGTACTAGTCACTAGGACTAATTGTTTCCATGTGTCTTTGTTTTTCTTCACTCTTCTTTGCTCTGGATGAGGAGAGACCCATCGTTGCATCTAGATGGCTGCTTGCAAGCTTTTAAGATCCCAGTCGCTATTCGCCAAAGTAGGGTGTGGAACAATGTTTTTGTGTAGTATGTTATGTCAGTTGAGCTTGATGTCCCCTGTGACTATTGTCTCAAACCCACAGGTCCAACTACTTGGTCCCTCTGGGTAGCTGGCTGGACCAAGAAGTGACTACAACCTTGTTCCTTGTCAGCTCTACTGTCACCTAGGAACTTTTCCTTCCTTTTAAATGAATGGAATAGCTGATTTCATGACTCTGATTTCATTAGGTTTTTTCTTTTTTTCCCTTATACCTTCTTTTGGCACAGTGCGTAAGGCATTTGACTACTAACCAGAAGGCTGGTGATTCAAACCCACCAGCCACTCAGTGGATAAGACCAGACAGTCTACTTCCGTGAAGATTTACTGCCTCGGAAATCCAGCGGGGGTCGCTATGGGTCGGAGTCAACTCGATGGCAGTGGGCTTGGGTTTTGTACCTTATTTTGAGTATCACCTTATCCCACAGCCAGTTTCAGCTGAGAACTGAGGTTTATGGGGCCAGACGACCCTGGAAGGAGGGGCGCCGAGTCTGGAGCGAGCAGAGTGAAGATGGACAAAGCCATTCCAGTGGTCCGGGGGATCCTTGGTGCCCTCCCCTCTCCCTGTGTAACCCTGTTCACCCGTCGCTCTGGGGAGGCTTCAGAGAAGCGATTCTGTCCCCTTGGCCATCGGCACTTGATAGATCTTTCGCTGCGCCACCTCACCCTGTGGTGGTGGTGGGTTCTACGCATGACAGGCGGTAAGAAGATGGTTCCAACATCACAGTGGAGCATGTCGGTGCCGTCCATGCTCAGGGCCACGAGAGAGGCCACACGGGAGGGGCGGAGGAGCTCCACGCTCCCGTGAACTCCCTGAGGCAGGACACAGCCGGGAGCCGACCGACGCCTGCAGGGTGCACCCGGCCTTGGGTCTCCCTGAAACCTTGCAGTCTTGCTTCCAGCCTCCCACTATCAGATGAGGAAACCGGGGCGCAGAGATGTGACTCAGTTCCCAGGGACCCCAGAGCCTGCTGCTCAGCACCCCGATCCTTTGTCCGGGGCCGGGACCCGTGGGGCCCCAGGGAATGTGCCCTCAGCCGGTCCAGCAGCTTCAGGGCAATGGCTGTGCCTTTTCTTGTTTTTATAGCTTGTGATTTTTATGGACTTTATTCTTTGAGTCATTTAGGGTTTGCAGGAAATAGGGAAAATACAGAGAACTCCAAATATCCTTTCTGTCTCTCTTACACAAACACACCCACACACACATACACGCAAAGGTACACACTGGTTCCTCAGTAACACCTGGTGTTGCGCGGTGTGTCTGTTACAGTGGATGAACCAGCGTCAGTGCCTTGCTCGCTCGCTCTCTCTGACTCTGACTCTCTCGCTCTCGCTCTCTCTCGCTCTCGCTCTCACTCTCGCTCTAACACACACACACACACACACACACATACAGCTTCCTCTGTTAGTAACATGTTGCACTGTCACAGTGGATGAACCAACATTGATACACTGTTACCACCACTTTCCATGCTTCACTGCCTGGTCACTCTGGGCTGTGCAGCCCTGTGGGTTTTGACAAATGCACAGTCATGTTTCCACCTTGTCTGCACCATGCACAAGAGTTTCTCTGACCTAAAACTGCCCCAGAGGAGCTCTGGTGGTGCAGAGGTTAAACATTCAGCTACGGTCAGAAGGTCGGTGGTTTGAACGCAGCAGCTCTGCCACCCCGCCTAGCCATCCCCCCTCCTGAGCTGTGACCTTCTCTTATCTTCAAAGACCTGTCTGAGATCAGCTCTGTTGGGTGACTGTCTTTGCTCTTCTCATCACAAACCGGCATCTGAAAGAAACACCAGTGGGGCCAGACCAGTGCCCTGAGGGGCCGAGCGAGGACGCCCAGCCTCTGCCCTCCCAGCCTGGCTGCCTCGGGCGGGGGGGGGGGCCTCACCTGGCACTGCTGCTTCTGCCTCCCCTGCCAGCTTCCAGGAGAGGACCTGCTGGGGGAGGATGACAGGGCTCCTGTCTGCGGAGGGGGACTTCCCCCAGGTTGTTTCAACCATGATCCGCCCAGGCGAGGTCAAGGAGACCAGAATGCCCCTGTTAGTGTGGGCCCGGGTCTGCCCAGAGGAAGCGTGCCCCTTCCAATTATCCCTGCTCACCCAGGCCAGGGTCCTGGGGGCTGCGGGGCCCCAGAATGCATCCTGTCTCTCATAGATGGAATTGTGTCCCCAAAAATACATGGCAGCTTGGCTGGGCCATGATTCCCAATAAATGTGGCTGTCCTCCGGTTAGTGATGTGTTGCAAACCCTAACCTTAACTTCCTGTTAATGAGGCAGGATCTGTGGGTGTGTCTCAAGGCCCAGGCTTACAAGGGGATGTGACTCAAGTCCCACCCTTGCAATTCACCCCTCTCATCTTACAAGAGAGAAAAGGAGAGAGAAGTGAGCAGGGTGGGAGAGACCTGACTCCCACCAAGGAAGAAGAGCCAGGAGCAGAGTGTTTCTTTGGGCCTGGAGTCCTTGTGCTGAGAACTTCCTAGACCCAGGGGTAGGGTGATGCCAAGACACATGGAGATGTCCAAGGAACCCTGGGCCCCCAGACGTTGAAGGGAGACAAGGCTCTTCCCTGAGAGCTGACTTAGAGAAAGCCTTCCCTAGAGCTGTTGTCCTGAATTGAGCCTGTCAGCCTTCTAAACTGTGAGAAAATACATTTCTGTTTGTAAAAGCCACCCCCTTGTGGTATTTCTGTTACGACAGTGCTGGAGCCTAACACCCCCAGTGCCCCAGCACAGCCCTGCATACAGAGCTCAGAGAGTGCTGTGAGCTGGACACCACACTTAAGTGAGTGTTGTGGAAGGTGCACACGGGCAGGGGCTCGCTGTCACAGTCCTGGCCCTCCCTGCAGGAGACCCAGGTTCGATCCCCAGCCAATGAACCTCACTCGCAGCTACCACCTGCCTGTCAGTGGACGTCTGTGCGTTTCAAGGTGCTGAATGCGTTTCCAGGGAGCTTCCAGGGAAAGAGGCCTGCAGGCCTGCTTCTGAAGACCAGCCAGGGGGAAGCCTGCTGATCACAGTGGTCCGAAGGGCAGCTGGCGGGGCGTGGGGCAGGACCGGGCGGCCTTCGGTGCCGCTGTGCGTGAGGCCCCACTGGCTCGGGCTGACTGACCAGCACCAGCAGCAGGCGCACAGGGCGCCAGGAGGCCAAGATGGGGAGTTTGCGGGGGGCTGAATCCCGGTTGTGTCTGAAATGGGAGAAGGAGACAGCCTGAAGTGGAGGCCTGTGGGGACAGGATCCTTGTCCGAGGGCAGGGGGAGGACAAACAGCAAGGGGGTGAGGTGTGGAGGGGTGGGGTGGGGTCGGGGGGCACTATGGGGATAGGGTCCTTGTCCGAAGGCAGGGGGGAGGAAAACACCAAGGGGGTGAGCTGTGGAGGAGTGGGGTGCGGTCAGGGGGCACGGTGGGGACTTCAACGGGTAGTTTTTTAAAAATTAAAAAACCCGAAC